CACATATAAGAAAAAAATATATAAAATATTTAGAATTTTAAAAATTAGATAAAGCATTTATAGCAGCAGACAGGGTGAAGAAAAGAGTTGTTATATATGGAAAAGAGTTACATCCAGAACTTTACTATATATCGGAAGACGGAAGAATAATTGCACTTACAATACTGAGAAATGGAAAAGCATTAATTATAAATATATATGCACCAAACCAGAGCCAAGAAAACTTTTTTAGGAAAATTAAAAATATTCTAAAAGCTAAACAGTTTGAAGATATCTGCATTATTGGAGACTATAATGCGGTATTTGACTCTAAATTAGGAAAAAACAAAAAAAGAATATAAAATCGGGTCATACATTACCAAAAAGATTTTTAGAAATGGCAGAAGAATACTGTATGATAGATGCCTGGAGGACCAAGAATCTAGATTTAAAAAACTATACATATTACTCCTCTAGACACAATTCTTGGTTGAGAATTGATATGGCATGGTTAACTGTCTCAGTCTAAAGAGTTAAAAGAAGCTGAGCCTACGGGGAGGGCGGGATAAAAATCGAAATAATAAATAAATAAATATAACTGCAAATATCTACGTGGACCATAACCCAATTTTGTTGACATTCCAAGAAACTAATAAAATAACTAGATGGAAAGCAAATATAGCACTTCTGAGAGACAAAGATTTTATAAAAAACACTAGTGTGGAAATAGAAGAATTCTTTAAAAGGAATTTACAAGAAGAGATTTCAATTAACACGGTATGGGACACATTCAAAGCATTATTAAGAGGTTGGTTTATTAACCAAGACGCATGGAGAAAAAAACAAAAAAGGAAAAAATTTGATAAATTAGTAGAAAACATAAAGGTGGAAGAAGACAAAATGAAGAAAACAACGGAATCAGACACAATAAAACTGAAAATAAAAATATTACAACATCAATTAAATATTTTATCAATTCAAGAATTAGCTAAAAATATAGAATACACAAAACAATATTACTTCGAAAATGCCAATAAACCTACCAGATGGTTAGCGTATAAACTCAGAAAAGAGAGAGAAAAATGAATAATTTCAGCATTAAGGGACAAAAATCAAGAGTTAAAATATAAAGCCAAAGAATTGAAGGAAATTGTGGAAAACTTTTACCAAAAATTATATCAAGAAAGTACACAAGCAAATAAAGGAATACTTAGAAGGTAAAGGTAAAGGTTCCCTTGCTCGAAAGCCAGTCGAATCCGACTCTAGGGTTGCGGTGCTCATCTCCATTTCCAAGCCGAAGAGCCAGCGCTGTCCGAAGACGTTTCCGTGGTCATGTGGCCGGCATGACTAAACACCAAGGTGCACGGAACGCTGTTACCTTCCCACCGAAGTGGTCCCTATTTATCTACTTGCAATTTCTTGCTTTCGAACTGCTAGGTTGGCAGGAGCTGGAACTAGAGACAGGAGCTCACCCTGTCTTGCAGCACCCGGGTCTTGAACCGCTGAACTACTGACCTTCCACAGCCTGCAGTTCAGCGTCTTAACCACTTGAGCCACCGCAGCTCCTATAAGGAATACTTAGAAACACACAATAAAAGGAAATTTAGTGAGGCACAGAAGAAACTACTTAACGATCCAATATCGCCATGTGAAATAATAAAAGCAATTAAGAAGCTGAAAAAGAAGAAAACACCAGGACCTAACGGTTTACCTGCAGAAGTCTATCAAAAGTTTGAAGAACAAATACTAATGCCTTTTAAAGAAGTACTTCAAAATATTATAAAATAAGGAAAAGTGCCGGAGTCCTGGAATGAAGCGCTCATAACGTTAATTCACAAACCAGAATCAGATGGAAATGAAATTCAGAATTACAGACCTATCTCCCTATTCAATGCAGATTACAAAATCTTTGCCAATATATTAGCAACAAGACTCAAAAGGGTTCTACAACAAGTTATCCATCAAGATCAAGCAGGGTTCCTTCCGAAAAGACAGATGAAAAACAACATAAGAACCATAATTGACGTACTGGAATTCTATGAAGCCCACTCGGAGAAACAGCTGGCACTACTATTTCTGGATGTGGAGAAAGCATTTGATAATGTATCCTGGGAGTTCTTAAGGCTAAAATTAAAGAGTTGGAAGTGTGGCGATAATTTTCTCTCAATGATCTCAGCTATTTACAAGAAACAACAGGCTAAAATAATAATTAACGGAGATATGACACATAACATTGAAATTCAGAAAGGAACAAGACAAGATCGCCTTCTATCCCCACTACTATTTATCTTTATATTAGAAACCTTAAATGATAATATTAGACAAAACAATATGATAAAAGGTCTGAAAACAAAAGGTGAAGAATACAAACCACAAGCATTTGCTGATGATCTAGTTTCCATAATAGAGGAACCGTTAGTCTCAACCCCGCCGCTTAAAAACAATACAAGAATATGGATTGGTAGCAGGTCTTAGAATAAATTTTAAAAAGACTAAAATAGTAACAAAAAATTGTACGAAAGAATAGAAAAAATCCAAGACAGCACAAAAATAGAGGTTACAAATAAAACCAAATATCTAGGCATCATTATGACAAACAGAAATAGTATGTTGATGGAAAATAATTATAAAAAATTACTAGAAGAAATCAAGAAAGATATACATAAATGGAAAGAACTGCAACTTTCATTAATGGGTAGGATAGCAACAATTAAAATGAATATTCTCCCGAGATTCCTTTTTTTGGTACAAAATATACCAATCTTAAAGAAAACCAACTTTTTAATAGAAATTGATAAAATTACAAGATATTTTATTTGGTTTTCTCAAAAAAGCAAGAATTAAATGGAAGACCTTACAGGATAAAAAAGAGAGAGGCGGATTAGGAGTATCAAATTGGAACCTATATTACCAGGCAGCTGCTTTGGGATGGATTAAAGACTGGATAATGCTTGAAAACTGGAGAACCTTATACCTAGAAGGACACGGTCTAAGTATGGGCTGGCATGCCTATACTTGGTATGGAAAAGATAAAATACATGCTGTCTTTCATCAACATATTATTAGGGGAGCCCTAATAAAAATTTGGGGGAAAATAAAAGAAAAATATTATACAAAGATTCCAAAGTGGGTTTCTCCTTTAGAAGCATTTGTAAAACCTACACTGATGACAGAAGAAAAAAGAGGATCATATGACATTTTATTAGATGATAAAAACAATTTAAGAACGATAGAAAACTTAAAATTAATTAACATAAATCTCACGTGGTGGGAAAGTACACAATTACAATCAAGATACAATAAAGATAAAATAATTGGATTTTACACGTCAAAATCAGATTGGGATAAAATATGGTTAACATCCAATAATCTTATACAAAAATATATATAATTATCTCCTAGAAGATTATATGTAGGACGAAATAGTAAAAACTCCAATGATAGCTTGGATCCAGAACTTAGGATATCATATTCAGCTAGAAGAATGGTCAAAAATATGGAAGGCGATGAAGTTAATGAGAGGAACATCTTTTAAAAAGAATATTTATAAAATATTTCACAGATGGTATTGGTCGCCAGATATTCGGTGATACGCCTTGTTAGCCGCCCTGAGCCTCCGAGGAGGGCAGGATAAAAATGTAAATAATAAATAAATAAATAAATAAAATAGCCAAATGCTATAAATCAATATCAAGAAACTGTTGGAAGTGTAAAAACAATGTGGGAACTTTTTACCACATGTGGTGGAGGTGTGGGAAAATATACAAATTTTGGCAAATTGTTAAAAAATTAATTATAGAAATAATGAACATTGATTTAGAACTACTTCCAGAAATATATTTGTTGAATATAATCCCAAATGGTATTGAGCAAAATGATATATATTTATTGATATATATTCTTACTTCAGCTAGAATATTAGTAGCCAAATACTGGAAGTTAGAAAGATTGCCTCTAAGAGAAGAAATAGTAAAGAAATTGTTAGAAGTAGCAGAATTGGATAAACTTAATACATTATTACTGGGAAAGGATGAAAAGATTTCCCAAAAAAGATGGATGAGAGTGTATAAATGGTTAGAAAATAAATGTATTTAATGGGGAAAAAAGAAAAGAAAAGAAGAAGCTAAGAGGATCGTGTGAGTAGGTCCTGGAACCAGTGTCTCCATGGCCAGAATGGGTTAATGAGAATCAGTTCTGCTTTGAGCTCTACTACTATGTGAACAAGCCTCAGAATAAGCTTTGTGGGAGGAAATGTATATGCATGTCCTTTAAGCCATTCATAAATCAGGATGACTGGGCTCAAGGCCTGAGAAAAGAAGCACAGTTGAGAAAGCAAACAAGAGCTGATAAGGAAGATCTGGCCAGGAAGATTCACTTGAGATCCTCCTACTGATTTTAGGTCAGTGATTTTTATTATTATTATTTCAAGGAGGTAAATCAAGTAAAATCAGCAGGAGTTTGTGTTATTTGCATGTGGTGTAGTATCGCTTGTTTTGTTATAAAGTGCTGTGTTGCAGTCAGGGGTCATTTCATAGAAAAAGAGCTAGGGGAACTCATTAGCATAACTCATTAGCATATGCCACACCCCCTGACATCAGGGGCCCGGCGGTGGACCTGCAAGGCCGGCGGAGGTGCGAGGAAGCCCCGCCAAGGCCCTCCCTGGCCCCAGGCAGGCAGGGGTGGGGAGAGGCGGGGAGGAAGCAACTTACCCTCCCTCTTCTCCTGTCTCCTCCTGGCTGAATGAGGGCCGGAAGCGGGGCTGCCGGAAGCAGGGGGCGGAGCTTCGTCATGTGCCCCGCCCCCTGCACCTCACCCAGGGGAACTGCGTTCCCCCGCGTTCCCCCCCGAAATGACCCCTGGTTGCAGTACAGAACTTAATAAAAACAAGTCCTTAGACAGACTGATTCCAGTGCCCTGAAAACCCCAATTTGTAAGATATCTAACCACACATGATCTAAATGCAGGCCAGTTAGCAGTACCTACATTCTTAGCAAACTAAAACCTAGACAGAGATTACTTACTATCAAAGGGGTCAGACTCAAAGAAGTCTAAAGTGGATTCTGCAGTCTGTTCAGAGAGCTGATGAGATTCTTCATCACATGGATCTTCCTTGGAGAGGGAAAAAGGGATATTTTATACAGTATTTCTGTTCTGTAACACTATACAAATTCTCTGGGGTGTTGCATCTGTTTGTACCCTTCCCCCCACACAGAATTATTAAATGTTTTCAACTCATGTGGAACTATTTAGATACTTTGCCATGCTGTAACTTAAAAATACTGAGCAAACTCACTTGTTTAGTAACCACTGGTGGCAGGACCTCTTTTTCTTCTTCCACTTCTACTGTTTCTGGACTATTCCTGGCCTTTTGGGGGAAAATTAAATTCACATATGTAAATTTTCTACCATGAGATAAGACATTTGAAAGAGAGATATGTAAGAGAATTGGTATGTGCTAAAGAATAACTGTGCTGAGACACAAAACAACTGAAAAGGGATTTTGGCTGGCTTTCATTTCCTAATATACATGTTTTTTCACTGAAGTGTGAAAAAAATGAACCTAATCCTGGGAGCAAAAAAAAATCTTGGCATACAGATTTAGATATTTTCCTGCTTTTGTTATTTCTGTTGCAGAGCTTTATGGATGATACTTCCATGCTAGACCCTTTCCAGTCTGTTTTTTGTGTGGGCCATGGGACGGAGACGGCACTAGTCGCCCTCACAGACGACCTCTGGAGGCATCTGGATCGGGGTGGCATGGCGGCATTGCTGTTGTTGGACCTGTTGGCGGCGTTTGACACGGTCGGCCATCAATTGCTGATCCACCGCCTCGCCGACACTGGGATTCAGGGGCTTGCCTAGCAATGGCTTGTCTCCTTTCTCCAAGGCCGGGGATAGAGGTGGCGCTAGGGGATCAGACGACCCAGAGGCACCCGCTGACTTGCAGGGTTCCTCAAGGGGTGGTGCTATCCCCAATGTTATTTAACATCTACATGCGCCCCCATGCCCAGATTGCCCAGGCAAGGGTGTCACCAATATGCAGACAACACCCAGCTATATCTGTTGTTGGGCAGTCAGTCCAACTCTACCCCAGATGACCTGGATTGGGCGCTTCAGGACGTGGCGGGCTGGCTTAGACTGAGCTGATTGAAATTGAATCTGACAAAGACGGAGGTCCTATGCCTGAGTCGGAGTGGGTCAGGGGTAGGGATCCCACTACCAGCCTTTGATGGGGTGCCAATGGTGCCAGTGCCGAAGGTCAGGAGTTTGGGAGTGCTCCTGGATGCTGCCTTAACAATGGAGGCCCAGGTAGCAGCCACTGCCAAGGCAGCCTTTTACCACCTACGGCTGATTAGGCAATTGGTTCCCTTCCTCGAACGCAATGACCTGGCAACGGTGATCCATGCTATGGTCACCTCGAGATTGGACTACTGCAATGCTCTCTACATGGGGCTACCCTTGTCCCAAATCCGGAAGCTGTAGCTAATGCAAAATGCAGCAGCCAAGCTGTTGATGGGCCTCTCTACACGAGAGCACATTCAGCCTGTGCTGAAGGTATTGCACTGGCTGCCAATAGCATACCGGATTCGCTTCAAGCTGCTGGTTTTGACCTTTAAAGCAGCAGCAGCAGCAGCAGCAGCAGAAGAAGCAGAAGCAGAAGAAGCAGAAGCAGAAGAACTTTTCCCTTCCCCTCCCCACAACAGACACCCTGTGAGGTAGGTGGGGCTGAGAGAGCTTTTGACAGAAACTGCTCTTTTTCAAGAACAGCTCTTATCAGAACTATAGCTTGCCCAAGGTCATCCAGCCAGGTGCAAGTGGAGGAGTGGGGAATCAAACCCGGTTCTCCCAGATTAGAGTCCACGCACTTAACCACCACACCAAATTGGCCAGGGGGCCTGCCTACCTGAGGGACCGCCTTTCCCCATATGTCCCCCAAAGAGCACTGCGGTCAGGGTCACAAAATCGCCTGACTCTTCCTGGTCCGAAAGATGCCAGATTGGCCACTACCAGAGCTAGGGCCTTCTCAGTGGTGGCTCCACACTGGTGGAACAAGCACCCAGAAGACATCAGGGCCCTGCAGGACCTTTTACAGTTCTGCAGGGCCTGTAAAATGAAGCTCTTCCACCAGGCCTTCGATTAGGAGCCGCCACTGAGGAATGAGCTATTAAAAACTGAACTGCTACGGCCCTTATGCTATTGGCACTAAGAACAACCACGGATACTGGTTTAGCTATATTGGACCACCATACAGCAATTGCCATCTGCACTTAATTGCACTTTGTATGTATATTGCTGTTATGTGAATTTTATAGTATTGCACTTATGTATTTGTGTTTTATTGTATTTTAACCTGTTGTATACCGCCTTGACCCTGCCTGTACAGGAAAGGTGGGTTATAAATCGAAAATAATAAATAAATAATAAATTAACATCAAGAACAAAGAACAACCATGCTGGCCCATGCCATCTTGAAGGCTAGATAATGAAAATCTTTTTTAAAAAAGAGAAAGAATGGAGATCCTTAAAATGTGCATACAAAATAGCTCCCCAAGAGCTCTATACCTGGATTAATTTCAAGGATAATGTACTGTTAAAAAAAAATTAAAAATTACTATGGAACTAACTGATGCATGTCCCCTAATTAAAAAAAGTGATTTTTGTAGAATAGGTACCTTTTTGTTTGGGTTTGGGAAAATCCAGGCTTTAATGCATATGTGGATTTTGTATCTCTCTCTCCCTCTTTCTCTCTCACTCACTCAGACACACACACACAAACTCACAGGAAATTCATGATTTAGTTGTTCAGTGTCTGCTCTCTCTCTGTCAACATTCTCATTCAAGTTAGCTGTTTCACTGCTGCTGTTGCTGAGGCTAGAATGTTCTGCATTCCCATTAAGTAGTGTGCTGTGTGGCTGAGCCTCCCAGCTAGACTGGCTGCTTTCCAATTCTTTGAGCTCATGCAGTTTTTCTTGCACCTGTACAGAGAAATCATATATATTGTCTTCAGTAATCTAGAAGAGAATGCAAAAATAGAACATGAGCCTGGCACGGTGGGGAGGGAGAGATATAAGTTTAATAATAAATAAATAAATATTTATGTTACATGCCTATTTTCAGAATTTTCATTCTCATTTTCAAGTATACAATGAAAAAGTGGTAAAAATACAGATGTCTATGTACTTCCCAAGTCTCTTTGCAAGAGGCATCTATCTGCTTCTCACCACTATTAACTGCCCCCTTCAGTCTCTCTAATACTTAACTATCAAAATGATCTTCCATTCATAAACACACCTATTACACTGTACACAGATCTCAATATTAGCTCTGGATACTATAAATTTTCCCCACAATATCAGTTTTTGGCAATACTTCATGGATACAGAAACTGAGTTTTCAGAAGCATGAGCCTATACTGCTTCAAACCAAGTTCTGGTGCTTACATATAAAACTCTGCGATCAATGTATTTAAAAGGCCCACCTTCTCCCATATGGAGCTGCTTTCCTGGTGAGATTATTGTCAGAGGCCTTTGCTGTGTGTCCCCACACTGAAACCAGGTGGATGCACAGAGATGGTACCTTCTTAGGAATGGAACCTATATCATGGACCTTTTCCCCCACAGAAGATCACTTGACACAAAATCTACAGTCTTCTAGTAGGGTTGCCAAGCCCTTACCATTTCCCAGCAGGGGGAGGGGGTTCTCTTCTTCTTCCTGGACTTTTCTATGGTAATCATAGAGTTTTTCCTCAAATGATAGAGTGCCCCCCCCCCGGCAACATGCCCTGCACAATGACATCACTTCCGAGTCACCTCACCGTGCAGGGCATGTCGGCATGGATAGGGCTGCTCAGAAGCGGGGCTCCCCTGACCGGCCACCTCAGTGGCAGCAGATTGGGGGCCCTGAAAGTGGGGAAACCCCCGCCTTCATCAGGGGGATGGTAACCTTATTTTCTAGTCACCAGGTGAAGACATTTTTTTTCTTTTAAACACTTTAATCTACCACCAATTTTATGTATATCGTGGCTAGTTTTCTGAGTCTTATGCCGCTTCATTTTAGTTTGGTGTGGTTTATGCTTTGGCACTTTTCTTTTTTAGTTTCCTTTTGGGGCATTTTCTTTTTAGTCCAAGCCACACATTTCACCACACATACATTGTGAAAATTTTCTGTAAGCTGCTACAGTGCCATGTGGCTCTCCAGACACACTCTAAATATGTAATGTGTGAAGCAATCCTAAGAATTTTGAGTAAACCTTCATTCCATTCTTTGAATTAGTTTCTTAGTCAAGTTTTCAAGAATCACAATGTGCTTTCAGTGCTTCACTTGAAACTGTGATGCAAATCTAGTGTGCTATTTAGATAAACTCAAGTTCTGAAAAACACGGGTAGCTTCCACAAATATGTTTTGGGAACACAACACAGTTCCAGGTATTTGCTGGACTATTTTGTGTTGTTTGGCATTTATTTCTGCTGGATTAAAATGGAAATCTAATTACTCAGACTGAAAGAACTGATGAGGTATTTGAGCTAGATATCAGCTGCAATTAAAGGAGAAAAGAAAGCTATGTAAGAAGAAACATGAAACTGACAATGAAGAAAGAACTGTTTTCCTTACTGAAGTGTTTTCTTGGGGATACCTGAAGATCTTGCTGAAGAGGTCTTAGTTGTAACTTCCCTGCCTCTACACATTTTTCTAGCTCCGTGGTTTCCTGCTGTAGTTGGATAAGCTCTTCCTGAGCTTTATTTAACTCATCTTTGTATGTTGAGATTTTGGACTCCTGATCAGTTATTTCTGCCTTTAGAGAAGCAATCTGCAAAGAGGAGGAAGCACTTGATGAAGTAAATTACAAGAACTGTATGGAGAGACAGATACAGATATACGTCCCTGAAGAATATTGTATATAAAAGAAACTAGTAACAGATTTCAACATCTAATCCTAACTTAAGTCTGTTTTGGGGCCTAAAACAGGGCATGGAGTGACAAAAGCTATTTATAGCCCACTTCTTTTCCCTTCCAGGGCATCAATCTCTGTGTTGGCTTCAACTGACATGCTGGGGAACAGAAGTCATGTCTGCCTTGGCCTTTATTACAAAGGATATTTTTCTTCTGCCTGGAAGTTATGGTTTTAACTGTATATCAAGGAAAGAAAACTATACTGCATAAAAACTGCATCTCCTCTCAGAGATTTTGTAAGCCTAATGATTAATACTTTAAAAAACAGTATGAATAGTGTTTAGCTGGTGCTAATGCACCAAATTTAGATGAGGCTTCTCTAGCAGATCAAGTTAAAAACTTTTGGTTGTTCTTGGACCTGGCACTTGTCAGTGGACAAGCAGGTTGATGGTGGTGTTAGGAATGTCTTCTTTCAATTACTTTTAGTTTATAAACTGACTCCTACTTTTCGTTAATAAACTGAACCCTTACTTAGGTTCCGCCGACCTAGCCGTCCTGATCAATGTCACTGTAACCTCTACATTAGAATATTGTAATGTTGTCTACATGAAGCTTCCTTTGAAAAGGTCTTGGAAACTTCAATCAGTACAAAATGCAGCAGTGAGGCTTCTGTCATGGGTCAGTAACATCAGTGCTCTGTTAACTTTATTGGTTGCCTGTCTGCTTCTGGGCCCAATCCAAAGCGCTGGTTATCTTTAAAGTCCTTCATACATCTCACATTGCATCTCCAGGTACAATCCTCAGATAGCCTTCTCCTCACCTAAGAGTGTCTGTATGGCAATACTTAGGCATTTTCTGTGGCAGGTCGATTCCTCTGGAATGACCTCCCAGATCAGGTGCAGTGGGTTACTTCAGTTTCTACTTCCAAGGAGGCATGTAACACTGTTTTGAGGGCATTTGGTGGAGGGTAAACTGCTTTTTGGCTGTAGAACAAAGTTTGAGTCCAGTTACCTTTAAGACCAATGAAGTTTTATTCAAGGTATGAGCTTTGTTTTTGGCTGGGTTTTTAACAATGAATATATACTTTTAACTGTGTGGTTTAACTTTTTGCTAGACCCTCATAATGTTGTATCTTTGCAGCCTTTGCTGCTCTTTTAACTGCCTTGAGTTTGCAGAGATCAGGTGGGGTATAAATATTTTAAATACACTTAATTTCACAACAACAAAAGTTCTGTGGATATTTCTTTTCTCCTTTTTTCTAAAAATACAATATTCTCTTTGACAATCAAAAAAATTATTTTTGTAACTCAAGACTATAAAAATCAGTTGTAAAAGTTTAAAACTAGATTAATCCCAATTCAACTCAACATTTCTTCAAAAGATCTCAATACGATACTATGATGAACAAGTTTTAAAAGGTACTAAATATGGTTCTTATGTGTGTTCCCCCAACATGGCAGTAACAAGGATTCTTAGCCTGGATGCATACATACAAGATAAGAACAGTTTCAAAACTATGGAAAAAGCTCTATTCACCCCAGCCTAACCCCATTATGTAAGGTGTTTAAATCTGCAAACAAGCAGGGGTACCTTTATCCTCTTATTTTTCCACATAAAACCTAGAAATGCCACATTTTCCTATACCAGCTATTCTCCTGCCCATATCAAATATGTACTACTTTTGCTCCAGTGTGGCACTGGATCCAACTTTTTTCAAACATGAATGAACTGCCAAGACATACCAAATCAGCCTCTTCAGCACATTTCTGTCTGATTGTGTTAAGCTGTTCTTCCAGTTTGGCTTTCTCCTCATCAAGACCATTAAGAATTTCCTCTGCTTCCTCCTTCTGAGCCAGCAGCCTCTGCAAATTATTGCTCTCCCTTTTTACTTCATCCTGAAGATCCTGAGGTATTAATAAGAGAAAAAACAAGCATTTTACACATTCCTTTTTAACAGAAAGGGCCACCAAAAGAAAGGTAGTATGTTATTTTGGTGACAGAAGCCTTAGAATACGGGGGGGGGGGGGGGGGCAGAGAGAAAGCAGAACAATGAAAATTAAGGTGTATGTAATGAATATGAAAGAGGCCCATGAGGTCTGTAGGACATGATTTGATGAAGAAAAACAAATCAATCAGAACGTAGGAGTATACTCAAAATATAACATGAAAAGGAAGCATAGCAGAAAAGTTGAAGGAAGAGAATTAAGCAAAGAAGCAATCTACAGATTTTCTGAACATGTCCCATTTCTTAATACCTAACATGATACTGGGCTTTCATGGGTATAATCTCCATATGGGCCAAACCTAATAGGTGGGTAGAAAAATTCCACGCATCAAAGTTCGGACATTTACTTTGGACGTGGGAGCAATTCACTGTGTTTCGGTTCACCCCGCTCTTAGAGCTGCCTATCTAGACCCTGCGTGCCAGAAGGTCCTATCAAAAGCTGCTGCAAATTCCAATCATTAAGTGTTTATAGACACAAGCCTCTAAAATTTCAGTCTGAATTTTTTCTTGGATGGAATGTATCACCCTCTCTAGAAGTTTCTTATGATTAAGATGCATACATCACATCCAGAGCTCCATACATCTCCAGTAATCTAGGAAATGCAATACACCAAGAGAATACTGTCAGTTTACAGAGGTTCCTTGACTCATAACAGATCAGACCACATAGATTTCATATCATGATTTGATCCCTGACATCAGAACTACAGGCTCAACATTTCTAAGCCAGCCAAACTATAAAGGCCCCTATGGCAAAAGGATATCAAAGGAGTTATTTTATTATTATTTGCATTTATTTCTCCCTGGGATTCACTAGCAATAAAGATTTGTCAATTATGTAGTACACAACAGAAAAATGAAGACTGGGTCCGAAAGGTGAGGTGATCAAGAAGCGTTAGAGAATACATTGAGACTCAGTTAGTACTGGAAGAGCTCCCAGTACAAAGCTCAGTGATTTTCACTCTTCTCTTTCCATGAAACACACCATCTATACACATGAAATGAAAGAGGACACTAATGTAATGTGTAACTGACATGCCTGGAAGAATAAAATTGAATACAGGCATAATTAGAATGAAATACAAAAATGAAATGCATCTAAACTCCACAGACAATAGAAAAAAACCCTAAACTTGCTTCATTTTTAAAAATTCCATGCTTCCTCCTACCACATGTCCACATCAAACCATACCAGTGGTGAAGTACAGTGATTAGGATTAAGTAATTAATTTTTTTTAATTATAAAGGATTATCAGGAGCTAATCTGAAATCAGTATATATTTACATTGGCCATAACATTTATTACGAACTAGAGGGCAGCAGTAGTTTATTGATTAATTTTGCTCATTTCTAAAAAGAAATAGTTACTTAGTAGTTTGTAGTTGAGAAGTTATTTGCAGATCTGAAACAGCATTTCTTTACATAAATAAGAAGCTGCTTAATTCTTCTAACAATTTAGTCAATGTACCCTCCTGACTCCCCCACCCCCACATTAATAGTCATGGTAGGTTTGCTTTACTGCAATATTTATCTGATCATTTTCAGATCACAGCATTTCAGCAGATCTTGCACTGATTTTATTAAAAGACCAATGCCTCTAGTCTTTAGTATCCTATCACTGAAAGTTTCACCTCACCTGTGTGAAAGCTACAGAAAGCTACTTGGAAATCTTGTGTGGATTTTATTTTCAGTGCTAAAATTTAAAACATTCTAATAACTGGTGCCGAGTTTACATTGTAATCCTCCAAATTTGTGCTTCAAGAAAATTCACATTAACACAATTTTATAGGCACGTGTACAGCAACTATCTGTTAAATAGTTTTAAGGGGGAAAAACAGCCCCTTTCAAAATCTAGTTCAGTTGACTGGGTCTGATATACCGCTGACAGCACCAGCCTCAGTGCACATCAACACTGTCCAAGAGAGTCATTCAGTGCTATAGGGCTTAAGGAGTAGGTCACACACACAAAATTTCCCCAACCAAAACAATTTTGGGGCATGTACACCAATGCTCCCTCTAAGCTGTGGAGTCTTGTGAGCAAAAATTCTACGTTGTGAGCTACTGGCATTAAAGTTGTGAGCAAGTGATTTGGCTACTGAATAAATTAGTTTGCTCTGGAGCCACGCTTTCTGATCTAAGACAAAAATGTGTGAGCCAGAGGCTAAAAAACTGTGAGCTAGCTCACACTGACTCAGTTTAGAGGGAACATTGAGTACACTATGCATGAGTATTCGAGAAAAAATCTTTCAGAGACTGACATTTTTATTGAACAATAAGTTTTCCATTTCAGGCCTGACATTTAATGACAAAACACTTTTATGTTTATTTTGCCATTAAGGAGCTGTGCTTCTGATCATTTTGTGAGAAGTGCTGCTTCATTCCCACCTTCCCTGAAAGACTGTTGACAAACAAAATACAAGGACAGCTTTGTGTAAGACACTGCTTCATTTTGTGTCCTCAGAAAAAAACACTGTTGCCTTAAAAAACAAAACCGGGGGGGGGGGCTCAATCTCCAGCATCCCAAAATGGAGTCCCTATTAGGCAGATTTTTAAATTGAAAGATAAGCTGCTTGTGTTGTACATTTGTTTATAATCCTACCATCAGCTCAGCATGGGAAAGTGTCACCGACCTCAGCTACATTTATATCTTTAAAACTAGGAAGTAGCTTTGCAGTCTTAATGGGCAGAAGGGTTGATGCAAGCCACTAATTATGAAAAATTAACAAATACAAAAATAATGCATTATCATGTACAGAAATTAAATTATACCAAGTATAAAAAGTACTATTTATAGAAAATAAAATGCAACATTTCCCATTATGTAGCAAGCCTCTCCAAAAATCCTGCTGCAAACATTTAACATTACCCTTTCATCCATGTTTCAGCTAAGGCAATAGAATACCTTCCTAAGATTATGCTTAACCATTTATTTACCAATATACTTGTTAAGGACACTTCAATCCTATTAAAAATGCATATACATTATTTATTGGGGCATATGGAAGACAGAAATATGAAATTATGATTTGCAGGTGTTATGTTATATATGAGCCCCCATTCATTAGGTAGCAAGGCAAAAAAAATGGTTTAAATGTTCATTTATTACACTGTTCCAAGCACACCCGAGCCAAAAAATTCAGTTACCTGGATCTCACTTGTCCTCTGTTTGATGGCATCTTCTTTTTCCTTCAGGTCTTGTTCCACATTATTCTTTTCCCTAGAAGACCAGCAAATAATGCAAGAATATTTGAGAACATCAGCTACCCCAGGCACATTTATCCAGCTGCCTAAGCCAGTCTCTCTTTTTAAATACATAGTGAAACATTAAATTTATATAAGATTTTTCCCCTTTTATTTCTACAAAAATGTTCTACATAAGCCAAACATTAAAACAAAGATCTCCACTCTCACAGATATCGAGAGGTGGAAATAATAGCTTAAAGAGAAAGCAAGAGCGGAAAAAATCAATGAAATACTGTCTTCAATGATCTCACTGTTGCTATGGAGCAATTGCCTGGTGAAAAGTGGGAGGGATTGCATCAGCTATCATGTATTTAACCGTTTGGGAACCAGAACTGTTCTGGTAAAGTAAGATATACAAATACAATCTTATGAACTGGGCAAATCTTGATCCACCACATTATTTTTGCCTACACAAATACTAGCAATCATTTCATAAGAATATAATAACTGCTGCTGTATCACACCAGTTGTCCATCTAGTCCAGCATCCTGTCTCACACAGTGGCCAACCAGTTCCTCTGGATGGCCAACAACACGGCATAGAGGCTGAGGCCTTCCCCTGATGTTGCCTCCTGGTTCTGGGATTCATAGGATTAGTGCATCTGAATGTGGAGGTTCCTCTCAGTCACGATGGCTAGTAGCCACTGAATCTATCTAATCCCCTTTTAAAGCTTTTTATTCCTGTGGCCATCTCTACATCCTCTGGCAACAAATTCAACATTTGAATCAATCTCTGTGTAAAGTAGTATTTCCTTTTGTCTGTTCTGAACCTACTGCCCATTAGTTTCACTGGATCTTTGTGTGATTTCTGGAGGGGAAGGACTTCTCTCTCAGATCCCAGTCTGGTCTCCAAATGTCTCCCACACATACAAAAACCAAGAAAGAAACTCTGACTAACAGGTAAGGAAAAAATGACATTAAGGTGCAGAGGCACAAACATAATGTAGGAAAGATTCCCAGAGAACCTCACCAGGAAGAAGAAGGATGGAAGAAGGGTGAGGAAGCCTTAGGTCCAGACAGCATACCCACTCTGTTCCAAGACCCGGCTCAAGAATTCTACCCTTGGGTGAGAAGAGACTGCCCCACCCCTGTACCACCAAAAAGAAAGATTTACAGTAAGTGAGACAAATCTTCCATTCTCCAGTGGTCCGGGATGGGGCAGTCTCAACTTCTGAGACACTGAAAAGCATGTGCCCCAGGGAGGGAAGTGACTTGGCTGTTATACTGAGAAGGCACAATGTACGACCCTCCTTCTGAAGGCAGCATCCACAGAGGCTACTTTATCAATCCTGTGGTACCTGGCAAAAGTGTGGAAGGACCTCCAGGTGCCAGCCTTGAATATGACTTCTAAGGAAGGAAAGGATCTGTAGGCTGCAGAGGTTGCTGCCTCTGAGGGAGTGTGCTGTAATGCCCAGAGGAGGGTCAAGACCTGCGGACTTGTTAGCAAGAAGGTTACAGCCTCTAACCCACCTACTAATGGTAGAAGTATAGACCCTGTGCCCTAGGGAAGCCTTCCTGAAAGAGACAAACATAGAGTCAGTCCTATAAAAGGGCTTAGTCCTATCCTCCCTTTCTTAGTTCCCCTGATGGCGGAAATGGCTGCCACCTGTCTAGTATGAAGCCTGAGACAGTTTGACACTAGTATGAAGACCCTTGTCCAAACCTTCTTGCAAGAAGGAGAGAACATCTCCCACTTCAGCAGTAAGGGGCTCTAGCCTGTGGTTGCAATACCATGACTGGAAGACCTGCCATGAGTTATTATACATCCGAGAGTTCTGAAAGAACTCAAATGTGAACTTGTAGATCTCCTGACAAAGATATGTAATCTTTCCTTAAAATCTGCCTCCATTCCTGAGGATTGGAAGGTAGCTAATGTCACTCCCATCTTTAAAAAGGGTTCCAGAGGAGATCCGGGAAATTACAGGCCAGTCAGTCTGACGTCGATACCGGGTAAATTGGTGGAAACCATTATTAAGGAAAGAATTAGTAGGCACATAGATGAACAAAACCTATTAAGGCAGACTCAGCACGGTTTCTGTAAGGGAAGATCTTGTCTCACTAACCTGTTAGTGTTCTTTGAGGGGGTGAACAAACATGTGGACAAGGGGGATCCAATAGATATTATTTACCTTGACTTCCAGAAAGCTTTTGATAAAGTTCCTCATCAAAGGCTCCTAAGTAAGCTCAAAAATCATGGGATAGAAGGACAAGTCCTTTTATGGATCAAAAACTGGCTAGTTCATAGAAAACAGAGTGAGTGTAGGTGGGCAATTTTCTCAGTGGAGGGTGGTAAGCAGTGGGGTACCGCAGGGATCAGTACTTGGTCCACTGCTTTTTAACTTGTTCATTAATGATTTGGAGATGGGAGTAAGCAGTGAAGTGGCTAAATTTGCGGATGATACAAAGTTGTTCAGGGTGGTGAAAACCAGTGAGGATTGTGAGGCACTCCAAGGGGATCTGTCAAGGATGGGCGAGTGGGCGTCAACATGGCAAATGGGGTTCAATGTGGCCAAGTGCAAGGTGATGCACATTGGAGCCAAAAATCCTAAATATAAATACACATTGATGGGGTCTGAACTGGCAGAGACTGAGCAAGAGAGAGATCTTGGAGTTGTAGTGGATAACTCACTGAAAATGTCGAGACAGTGTGTGACTGCAATAAAGAAGGCCAATGCTATGCTGGGGATTATTAGGAAGGGTATTGAAAACAGATCAGCCAATATAATAATGCCCCTATATAAATCAATGGTGAGACCTCATTTGGAATACTGTGTGCAGTTCTGGGCACCACACCTTAAAAAGGATATTATAGCTTTGGAAAAAGTGCAGAAAAGGGCAACTCGAATGATAAAAGGGTTGGAACACTTTCCCTATGAGGAAAGGTTAAAGCGCTTAGGGCTCTTTAGCTTGGAGAAAAGACGACTGAGGGGTGACATGATCGAGGTTTATAAGATTATGCATGGGAAAGAGCAGGTAAAGAAAGAGGTACTTTTCTCCCTTTCTCACAATACAAGAACTCGTGGGCACTCCATGAAACTGCAGAGCGGTCGGGTTAGAACGGATAAAAGGAAGTACTTCTTCACCCAAAGAGTGATTAACACATGGAATTCACTGCCACAGGAAGTGGTGGGTGCTACAAGCATGGACGGCTTCAAAAGGGAATTAGATAAGCATATGGAGCAGAGGTCCATCAGTGGCTATTAGCCACAAGGTATAGCTAGGGGCTCTGGGGCAAGTGATGCTCTGTCTTCTTGGTGCTTGGGGGGGGGTCAACAATGGGAGGGCTTCTAATGTCCTGGCCCCACTGCTGGACCTCCTGATGGCACTGGTATTTCTGGCCACTGTGTGACACAGAGTGTTGGACTGGATGGGCCTTTGGCCTGATCCAACATTGGCGTCTCTTATGTTCTTATGTTCTTATTATACACCCCATTAGTGGAACCCTTCCTGGAAGCTATCAGAGTGTTAATAACCCTATCCAGGTATCCTATTTGTTTGAATTGCAACCGCTCAACCTCCAGGCTGTGAGGCTTAGTAACCCAGGCTGGGGGTGAATGAGGGTTCCCTGCTGAAGAAGGTCCTTCCTGATTGGGAGACACCAGGGCTCCATGATAGACAGTCTCAGTGAGTCCTGGAACCAGGACCTCCATGGCCAGAATGGCACAACTAGCACTACTTCCACCTTGAGGTCTGTTATTCTCTGGATCACCCTTTGGATTAGCTGTATGGGAGGAAAGGTATGCAGTAGCTGATTAAGCCAGTTGCAGCTTAGTGTGTCTATCCCTATGGTTTGCAGAGACCTTGTCCGTGAGATGAACTGTGGAACTTGGTAGTTTTGCTCGGTCACAAAAAGGTCCCGCCTTGTCGAACTTGTGGCATATCTGCTGGAAAGTTGCCTTGTTCAGCGTCCATTCTGCCTGATTTAGAGCCCTCGGACTGAGCCAATGTGTTGTCCTGTCCTGCCACATGAACAGCCTTGATTAATCTCAGATGAGTTTCTGTCCGTTACAAAATCAGCTTTGCCTCTGCATGGAGTGACCTGGATTTGGTACTCCCCTGGCAGTTGACATAGAATTTGGCTGTCATATTGTTCATGTGAACTAGGATGTGCTGCCTTGTTAGGAGATCCTGGAAGGACAACAGCCAGAGCTCTCTCAGCCCCACCTACCTCACAGGATGTCTGTTGTGGGGAGGGGAAGGGAAAGGAGTTTGTAAGCCGCTCTGAGACTCTCTTGGGTAGTGAAGGGCAGGGTATAAATCCAATCTCTTCTTCTTCTTTTATTGCCCTGAGCTCCAGAAAGTTGATGCTTCATGATGACTCTTCCCGAGACCAGGTAACCTGACCCATTCTCCCCTGTGAGTGCCCCCCCCAGCCAGGGAGGCTGGCATCCAATGTCATTGTCATCCTCTTCAGTTCCTGGAGCGGAGTTCCCTCCAGAAACCTGGAAGACTTTGTCCACCACTGGAGTTCCTGAATCAGGGAGCTAGGTAGCTGAACTGGCTTGAACTGCTTGTTGGCTATGACATCCTGGAAGGGTAGGAGGAACTTTTGGAGTGGGTAAGCATGAAACCAGGACCACAGGACGACATTCTGACAGGGTAACATCATCCCTAGAAGCCTTGCCAAGGACATCACCTCCACTTGGGACCAACGAGTGAGCTCCTGTATTGAAGTTAGGATCTTCTCCTGTCTTTCCTGCAATAGGAAAACTCTGTCCTGAGCTGTGTCTATTATGACTTCTAGGTGGAGGACCCTCTGAGATGGAGACAAGCTACTTTTCTCAGTTATGATGAGCCCATGATCCTGGAAGCCTGAGACAGTTTGACATACATCCTCCATCCCCTGTTGGTGAGAGGGGGACCCAATTAAAATGTCATAGAAATATGGAAAAATGGACACTCCCTGGGTCCTCAGGTGCACTATCAGTGAAACAAAGACTTCAGTGAACACTCTTGGTGCTGTTTTGAGGCCAAA